TGCGGCGGCGCACAGCCGGGTTTTGGAGAGCGCGTGGAGCCCGGCGATCTGATCCTACGAGTTTGACCCTGGTCAAAACTCCACCGAAACTCCGTCGACTAGAGATGCTGTTTGACTCGGGGCAGGGTCTCCAACCAGACCCGCACACACACTGTCTTTGCTGCGCCGCTTCTCCGCTTTCGACGGGCCGATGCGCGATGCTGGGGGCCGCGCCCGCCGCACGGCGCTGGTGGATGCGGCGGACGCCCACTCAGAGCCCTCAAGGCCAGCGACCCCAGGGCACCTCAACTTGCTGATCTGCGCCCCAAACAGCGAATGCGCCCGACCCTGAAGGCGCCCTTGACCACCGCTGACTGCCGTCCTCAGTAGCACTGTTTTGCTTTCCCTGCAACTTGCTCTCACATCCGAATTGACCCCGGCCGGCTGGCAGTCAAGCGGCTGCCAAAGTGGCGGCAGCTGGCGGCAGCGCTGGCGCCGGGCAGGGCTTGACCGGCAGCAAAGCGCAGCCCCCAACTTTTCTGCAGCCGTGCCTTCTGAGCGCGATACGGCGCCTTGGCTCCGGGAGTGCGCAGCACCCCTACACGCAGCCCCGGCAAGCGCATGCATGCGGCGCCAGGCTTGCTTGAGAGACTCTCCCCTGCGTGTGTCCGCAGTGCACAAATGTTATGATGACGCTCTTATGTGTTATGATGCCCCAGCGAGCGCCGACCCCTCGTACAAGCGGGCCCCGCCTGCAACTGCTCCCCCTCTCTTTGGTTGACGTCTCACATGCCTTTGCCCGCCTGCCACGCACACCGCGCCGCGGCGGCCGGCGCAGCGCCGCGCGCGCCTGCGCAGGCAGTGGGGCGTGCGCGTGCGCGCGCATGAATGCCTCTCAAGGGCTCCGACACACCCTACTGGGTTCTTCTGTGCAGCTGCCGGTAGGGATCACCCGTTGGACGCATACCGCGGCTTACGCCGCGAGGCGCGTGCCCGTCCGCCCTCCTCCCCACCCCCTGCAGTGGCGGCAGCCAGTCATGTCATATCATCCTCAAAACCCCTCCCATGGGCCCGCTCCCTTCCCGCAGGCCCGGGTGCCCCCTCGCCCCCCAGACACTCTTCCCCTCAATCGCACGCACCCGCTTTGGCGGGGCAGCGCAGGCCTGGCGCCTCAGCTGGGCGCGCGCCCGCGTCGCTGTTGGCACATCCAGTTGCTCGTGTCCGTTTACATGCCAATACCGCTTCAAGGTTGCTTTTACTGCGACACGTTGGCTTGGCCGATTTTGCGTGGCGGCGAGGCCGCTGCTGGCACCACTCAGATTGTAAGTATCACCACTGCCGCAACACGAGTGGAGCTTGAGGGTCAGTTGGATGCGCACATACACCGGGCTAAACCCACGGGACTGGTTGCACCAAGCAGAAAACCGTACAAGGTGAGTTACGCCGGACGAACAGAGTCTGGCAGTCGGAGCGAGTGTCTGCCAAGCAGAGGCAGGCGCGCGCCACTCGGCCGAGCCAGCTCCGACTCCTCTGCGCAAACACGCGGGCCGGCAGCCCCCTTTTTCAAGGCGAGACCACCATGAATCAACGGCCACGGGGCGGCGCCTTCGCGGCGCCTTCTTGACGCCCCCAACGAAGCGGCCTCGCCCCGTCGTATCAGATCCAGCCCTTGGTCTGCGCCAGGTCAGCGAATTTGAGGACGTCAGCGACCAGCAGCTCGGGCTGCTCCAGCGCCGCAAAGTGGCCGCCCTTAGGCATCTCGGTCCACTGCATCACGTCATGATGACGTCACATCAGGATGTTATGGTGAGTTGACCGCCGAGGCGCAGTGATATGAGTCGTATTCAAGAGTTGGAGGGGTTTGGTTGGTGCATCGTGCACCGCTGGCCCAGCGATCGGGAGCCATTTGACCACAAAACTTCCGCCTCGGAGGCGGGCGGGCAGGAAGCGGGCCCCCTGGTTTGCCGGCTGGGCAGGCGGGACGACGGCCGCCACCACAGGCGCGCAGGCTCAATCAGCAGGCCGACGAGCGGAAAGCGGCTCGCGCCGCCTTTGCTGTATAGCAATTCCGCCCGACGATGTTTTTGAGGCCCCACCTGCACTATGTTGTAGGCCGAGGCGGCCCAGCTGCGCGGCGGCCTGTACAGTTCCTTGGGGAACAGCGCCACGGCGCAGGGCGTGGAGCTGTATCCGCCAAACACGGCACCCATCTCCTTTCTGCGGGGCGGGGACGCAGGCGCAGCGTGCACCCAGGCGTGCGTGTGCGCGTGTCTGTTTGTGTGTTTTTGTGTTTCAAGTTGTGTGTGGAGAGAGAAGGCGATGGAAATGCACGTGTTGATGCACACATGCAAAAGCGTAAGCGAAGGCGTGGGGGGACAGGCGGATCTGGCAATCAAGCGCCCGCTCAAATGCTAGCCCAGCTGGCGGGCAGGAGTTTACAGGAGGTCGGCGGGGCGATAACAATCAATGATCGATTCACCACTTACTGGTTTGAGAAGGTTTCTTTGTACAGGCGCATGGAGCTGGCGATGCGGCCCCCAAACCAGTATATGCTTATGTTGGCTGCCGCGGCGTCCAAGGGGGGCCGGCGGGTGCCGGAGCAGGCGGCGAGAGGCGCGGGTGGGTGCATAGCGTGGGGCCGTGCGTGCCGTGAGTTCCCTGGGGTGCAGGGTGAGAGGGGGGCCGCGGCCACGGAGGGCGACGCGCAAGGCCAAGCGTGCAGTCCGCAGATCACGCAAGGCTGCGCGGCGGTTGAGGCTGCATCAACGTGGGAAGGCAGTGTTGGGGGGGCCTCACTCAGCATCTCGTCTTTCGAGATGGCGTTGTCTGGGTTGCCGCCGCAGTCCGACCAGGTCTGATGAGTATCC